TGACACACACGGATCTTTTGAACTGTTCTCCTTGTCATAGTCAACGTTTCCGCACAGTAAGTCAACACTAACAAAACACACTGATTAAAGGTTTTTCTTTTAAGACATATTGGTATATCAGACGATTTACAAGATTTATCAGACGATGGTACAAGATTTGTCATCATCTGGGTTTTAGATATATTTATTTTCAATCCCCCTTCTAGCGAGGAAAGGTAGAGCTGAAAGGCAGAGATAGAATTATTTACATTTGTTTTTGTGATGTTGATAGATCCGTTCATCATATCTATCATCATAATTCTTTTTAATTGTATCCCTATGCAGACTTAGTTTGCATCCTTACATTTATCCACATCCTATCTTGTATCATATTAATATTAATTATCTTCATAGATATCTCTGATCTAACGCTCTCCCACCGTATTTTCTTTAGCCGACCTCTCTTATTCTTTCCTAGAACCTGACGGTGACCACTTATTGTTCCTACTGTGCTGAACAGTGGCGTTCCTTAAAATACTTCAGTTTGAACTTAATTTGCTTATCAAATTTAATATAAAATAAGTAGGTGCAAATATTTATTTCGATATTCCACGTGTCTACTAAAATAGTAATTTTCCTTCACTAAATCTGAATGTAACGCATGGCACATATAGGTTATGCCACCAAAATAATATATGTACTTACCTTGAAAGTGTGCGATAAATTGATTAATTTTAGAAAACTACGATTTTCTATTATTCATAAATTAAAAATTTCTAAGTCTTTTCTTATTCTCTCATATGTAACTTGCTCGTTATTTGATTTCCTTATTCTTTTAATATAATTAGTGGAGTTTCCATTGCCTGTAAATTTAAATTTGAATAATCATACATAAAAGTTACGCTTAAAAGTGTCACTTCTTTAATTATTTCATAGTTTTTGTTTCTATTTCAGCAAATTCTGCCTCTGCAGAGTACCCCAATTTTTTTATAGACATGATATTAGTAATTATTTTAGATGTTTGTTGGGAAGATACCAAAATATTAAACAAATATCGTGTCATTTATCTCTTCATTTGTACAAATACGCCTTGCGGACAAGCTGAAGAATTACATTCTTGGTCTCTGAAACATGCTTAATATCCAGCTATTAATAGTGTCTTACTTCGTCCATTTCTGCTCGTAGCTTTTCCTCATGTCGCCTATTGGCCCCTATTCAGATCTATCTTGTTTAGGCATGTGAAGACCTGCTTAAGAAGTCACTCTTCATCACTTGTATTCCCTTGATCATTCATATATTATCTACTATCCTATCTATCATTCTTTTGCCGCACGGATAACTTCCACATCAATCTCATATCTCTTGCAAATGTTGATTGTCTAATGCGTCCATTGGTTCCTCGTTCAGGATGGCTTTCTCAATTTTAAGATTCGTCACAAATAAAAACATGTAGAATGCGTCTTTAATTGTACAATTTTATGTGAAATTAGGACTGCACCAGGGCTCGACGCTGTCTTTATTTATTCTCATTAGTGTGGGATCAAACGAAATTTGTTGAAAGAAAGGAAATTTTGTTTTCTTGACTTGCTGAATATATTAAGACCAGTGTTTTCGATTTTTGCCGTTAACAAGTGAAAATTAAATATGATAAGTAAGTCTAACTTCTCACTTATAATATAATCTCACTTATAATATGTGATTAGGTAAATAGGAATAAATAGTTTTAGAGCATAATTTTCATAAATGTAAGGATAGAACTGTGATGTCAGCTCTAGGTACATGCAAAAAGTTATACACATATTAGCTGACAGTGTTGTAAGCTATTGATGAGTACTTTTATCAATTTATTTTAGTATATTTTTAATGATGAACTGTTTTCTATTGTCGGTTCTTGAATTCAGGACCTTACTCCAATAACTGATACCTTGTCAGGTACTGGGTCCAAAACGTCAGATATTGGATCCAATAAAACATATATTCTTTAGAGTTAGTAAACAATTTGCGATACCTAGAACCACCCTACCGTATAAAAAAAAACAGAAAATACCCTGAAGATTGTAGAAAAGGTCCACCAACAAATTTGACATATTTTGAAGAAAAGTCTCTATAATATAAAATTTTAGTTTTAAAATTTTAAAAATTTTAGAATGTATTTTGTCCATAATTTTATATTTTAATGTGTGTTATAAATGTTGAGTGTCAATGCTTTTATAATCTCAACGACTAGTAAGTTACACTGAAGAATTGTGATATTTTTTAAATATTTACATATTTGTCTTATTACAGTGTCTTGAAAAAGGAATAAAACCATTCCGAAAGCTAGACAAAAAGTCAAAAGATTGTTTTTTTTAACATCCCGGCCAAAAATTCTGACTGGGGAACGTATTCTACAGCTTTCTTAAGGTCCTCAATTTTTTCTTTCTTTAGGGGTAGCATTCAAGAAGTATAAGCTTGTGCTTTATGAAGTTAAAGTGTTTGTGGGTCAACTTTACTGACATTGAAATTACTATAGTAGTAAGCAGCATTATCATTCGTATTTAGTGTATGAATAAACTCCGGTGTTTGAATATTACCCGTGTTGTCAGAAGAATATTCAAAGTAATGATACTTTGACGCATTAAAATATTCTCGATCTCTCCATGAGAGAGCAGCACTCTTAGATAAACTAATTATACTTCATGTACCTATGAGTTTGAGTATTTTAGTATTTTGGGATTTGCTGCTAGCAGTGCAAATCAATTCAACATCTGATATATCGTTTATATTCGGCTGCAATGTCGAATAGGGCGTTTTATAATGCTAAATTTCCTATCGCAACAAGAATGAATGTCCTCTAAAAGGGAAGAAATGTTTAATTTTGTTGCATCGGTAGTTGATAGCAAGAGTTAAGAGAGCCCAAATCAAAGTATGATTTTTATTCCTACCCGACAAATGTCAGAAAATAAATGAAGTTTAGTTACTAAATCTGGAACATTCTTCAATGTAGTCTACAAGAAAAGAAGCTATTGGCCTTTTTTAAGCTTGGCCTTGTGATATAAGTAAAGCATAAAGCATTATTAGTTTTTAAATTGTAAACACAAAAATAGTCAACTGTCGAAGGTAGTACATCTCTTGCACTGAAACTTTTGATAAATCTACATTTTGCATAAAGTCAAAAACCAAACTCAAAATGTTAGCATTTTGTTTTGATAATACTTTGGAATTTGCCAATGATGAATAATATCGTTTTGACTCAACGTTTCTGCACCATTTGTTTGGCTGCAGAAACTTTCTTTGCGGTTTCATTAAGTCTAGAGTCTTTTATACGTTTACACGTCTCGCAAAGGTTACATGTATCACTAGGCGGCCGGCCAAATCTAAGATTAAAGTTTTCCTCAAAGTATTTATGGTAAAAACTATAATTGATATTATTTTCAGGGTACACTTCACATAATAGTTCATGCATTTTTTCAATTAACAAACATTCACTACAAAACATATTTTCTACAATCCTTCTTTTATTAGAAAGGAACTAATATGATTGTGCACCTTCGCAGTTTCACTTCACATATTTTATTGCCACTTTTGTTTTTTTCTCGTAAATCTGTGGCGTTTTACAGCCGAAAGAAGTTTTCTAATAAGACGGATACGCTTGTCACTTATGTCGTAGAATCTAAAAAATCCTTCCCTACAAAGCTATACCTTCCTACCTACCAGAATGACATGATATTTGAATGAGTGTTCCTTCAATGTAGCGTCTTGTTGACTGATCTCGATGCGGTTTAACTTGTGAATGTCTTGTCCATTTTTAGTATTCATGCAATGAATACTAAATTACAGTATTCATTTGTTTATTTTGTTTTGTATTGTTCATTTTTAGTATTCATGCAATGAATTAATAATAGCATACTTGGTTGGTTTTAAGGAACTACATGGTAGCTTTGCTGTAGTTTAGAGATTAGTCATCATTCTAAATTTGTATAAACATTTTCTGTGACAACTTTGACAACATTGAATATTACATTGCAAAGAATTTGACCTGCAAGGTGATCCGGTCTTTTCGCTTGTCTTGCTTTTCCCAATCAATGTATTTTTGAGAAACAGAATTCCTCAGAAACATGAAGACGGTTTAAAACGTTTCATTTAAATTGTTCTATATTAACAACAACTCTTCTCCGTTTCGGTTTCAGGCGTCGTGAATGCCTGTCGCTGTCACTATTACTCATTCTTGAAAAAAAAAACTAAAATGTTTTCAAATTAACCAATGTCACTTTTGATTAACAATAATTCTTCCTAATAATTAACAATAAAACTTCCTAATAGTTATTCCGCACTGCAGCATAACCTCAAACAACAATATTATCAGCTGGAGTAGCCTAACTAGATGCAGTTTTGTCAATTTGCTACCTTAGTGTAGAAAAGTACCTCAGTCACTGGGTCCATTTCTGTAGTATCTAAACGAAAAGTACGTCATACGATTCCTCTATTATAACAGAATCAATCCGGTCCCTTTCTACAATAAACGAAGTGTCTACCATCATAGTGAATGAATCTACTTTTAACAAAAAACTGAGTCCTTTCTGAAATAAGCTATTCATTAGATAAATAAAATTATGTATTAAATATAATATATTTACATTCTAATTCAAAATTATTTTTCAGATGTACCTGCCCTTCTAAAAGGTCTTATCGAGATTCAAAAAGAGAACCTAGAAGTCCAAAGACAGCGACTAGAAATCGACAAAGAAAAGCTTGACTTCCAACGGCTCGTTGGGACCCAACTACTCACATTTCTGCCTCTTTTCGGAAGTCTGGTCCACAAGCTCACCTTTCCAAACAAAACCGAAGATGAAGAAAGTGACGAGAAACAAGGGAAGAATGGAAAGAAACGACCTCATCCCGACAGCGGGCTTGATATACTTAAAGACAGTAAAATACTGCGAAGTGTGTTAGAAGAAGGTATTAAAAAGTACATGATGGGGGACAATAGTGAAAAGAATGATAATGACATTAAAGTAGAGGATGAAAGTGATGATAAGTGAACTTTTATATAAAATGTGATGATTTTTTACCATATGTGAGGCTTTCTAATATACTTGGTAACATTTTACTCGGTGATACTCGTATAGTCACACAGTCTCATTTTTATAAAAACAATAATCTCTAAGAGAACTGAATCACAGTAAACGTTAAATTCTATTTATATTGTTCCTCGATCTGTTATTTCTTTTGAATCTTGCTTTGGCGATCTCTTTACCATTTGATGCACGTTTTTGTCACTAGCTAAATTTCATCTTATTTATCTTTTAGATTTGATTTTTTTACAATTACGCGTACAGTACACTATATACAATATTATATTACAGAAGAGAAAGTTTAAACGAAAGGTTATTATTACAATCGGGTTAATGTATATTTGTACTATTTAACCTAAACTGTTTGTTCTAAACATAAAGCTTTGTGAATATGTCATTATATAATAGGTGACTAAGATTAATGAATAAACTAGAACAAATAAAATAAAAACACGCTGTGGAGTTCGACACATATCTCCCTTATAGGCACTTTTTTTCCTAGAAAACGTCTTTAAACAAGAATGGGACGATAAATAAAATAACATCGAAAGCTACTAACCTAGACACCTTAGATTTGATGACAATGTTGTTTTATCAAAAGATTGTAAGTGTAGAGTTGATAGTAAACGGAATCAAAACCACAGATAAAATAAATGACAATCTAAAAACAGATGGGCACGTAAAGTAACAGACCAAAGACCATGGCTAATAGGCATCTAAACAGATAAATGCAGATCCCATTAAATATAGGTATATGATATCCGATCTACAGTAGGAAAACAAGGATACGCTAAGCACATCACAAGTCAATGGAGAAATTTGAGTGGGCGCTCTGTAAGTGTCTCCACTTACATCCAAGATTTTCCTACTTTTCTGATATGTGCCTGCAAGATGTCTTTGATCCTTTTTCTGTGTCCTTGTGCATTTTAATCTAAGACACATTTTTCATAAACATATTCAGGTTTCCTTAACGTATGCCCAATCCATTTCCACTTGCCCTGCATAATTTTCTCGAGAAGCATGCTTCCCTGCGTTGTAAATTGCCAGCTATCTCTCCACCTTTTGGAAGATTTTGCTAATGTTCGTTGGCTAGGGAGTTTATCTTCAAGTCACCGATTGTTAATAATTCTTATAAAAAGTTTTTATACTTGACTTTAAGAGTACTACTAGAGTCTTGTTCCAATCTTTAGGGATTTTGCTATTATGGAAACATCTTGCTTGTTTTCAAGAGCCCGGCAATTGTACCGTCGTGTCCTGAAGCTTTATTATTTTTTTAGTTCTTTTAAAGCTCTTTCTATTTCGAATCCCTCTATCTTTGGTAGTACCTCTGATCCCACGTTTTTATTATTTATTTTCTTTTTGATTTTTTCGTTTGTTGATCATTTAGACTTGCTTTACGAGCTTTACAAGGTTTTGTAGAAGTCTTCGACTATCTTTATTTTTTTATGTTTGTCTTTCTCTTCCTTATTATTGGTGTCTTTAATTTTAATGATTTTTTAAACATCCAGTGCTGGTCTTAGACATTTTATTAGACCAGTGTTGTTTTCAAAGACTTGCTCTATTAAGTTATCTGCTTCTATGCTTGAGTATGGTTTTCCTATAATAGTTGTCTTCTTTTCTTCATTGGTTGTTTAGTTTCGTTGCTTAGTTTGTCTTCTTTAATTCTTGTTTTCTTCATCTAAAGGATCTGATTCGAACTTATCCACTAAAAAAGACCTTTTGGAACCCCCCTTCATGTGCTCTTACTTTAAAGGCATCTATCCGATATTTTTTTTAATATCTTTTTTCATGTTAATATTTATTTTCGCTTTAACTATACGATGGTTACTACCAGTTGTTATGTTGTTTGTTTATTGTTGTGCCGTCTTCAAATATTCTTGTGTTGAAAGATATTTATAGCATACATGTTTTCTTTTTCCAGGAATACCAAAGTTTTTCTCCTCTTGCGTTTCTTGTGCCGAATTCGAAATTTCCAATCATGTTTTCGGATTTCTTCTAGTCATCCAAGTCATTTACATAGATATACCATATTAGAGATGGCACATTCATATTTTTGGTGGAATAATACGCTACCTTCATAACATGTTCCTTGTTGAACAACTTAATGGATCTAACATAGCATTAAGGTAGGTGGAAATATACAATCTTGGCGCATAGAGACTGCCAGGTCAATGGATATTATGTGTTTTAGTATATATATTCCTAACATTCATTCCTAATATTCAATTGAGAATATTATCTGGGAAGCCGTAGTGTTTTACAATCTGCTACATTTTATCTTGTATTCACCGAATCAAAATGCTATTGAAAATTTACAAAAACTATTACAAGAACCTCTGACTTTTAAGCTTAATTTGAGCTTATATCTAACTTGGAACTGTAAGTGGATTTATATAATATAAAAACAGACATATTTATAAATAATGTAATAAACCATTATTACATTATTTATATAATATACCAAATGCAGGACAATTATTCCATATTGCAGAAGATCGAGAAGCCTTCGCAATGGTGATCGCTAACGTCGGATAATTCTGATATGGCACGCGAAGAAGAAGAATAAACCATTTATCGCATTTTGTCACATCACCCTACAAAAGCTTGATCACAAGTTATTTCTTAATTTCATTCGGATACCTGTTCATTCCATATTCTTTTAAAGAAGAAATAACTCATTTCCCTGTTACTTAAATATTTCTAAAATATTGATTTCGTGGTTTCAAGTTAACTGTAAAAGTTTTCTTTGGTGTTTCCCTCTACTTATTTCTACACGCTAAATTTAATGGTTCGACAGTTAATTACCATGATAACGGACCATTGTTAAAAGGACAAAACTAAATGTTGCCAAGTATAAATTAAATTATTTACTTCATTATTTATTTTACCATTCCTTTTATATTATGAGGTAGGTACACACAAAGGAGATATTCATAAAGATTGATCCTTGTGCCATATTTCCATTTGTAGACTTACAAGTAAGCAAGCAATTTAATTTAACCCCAAGCCTGAGAGACTTGCACACTTAAAATGACATTCGGGTGTTACAATTCATTGGAGCGAGGTGTATTAATTCGTGTAAGACAGGAATCATTCCACCGCGCCTCAATGTTCCAGACTATTCCTTTTTTATATATAGCACTCTGTTGCGCGATAGGGGCACTCTTATCAGTCAAATGCTATTCGTGTAGGAGTCCTGGGTACTAGAACTCCAATAGGATATCCTAACCGATCTATCCAGGCTAGCATGAGTCGCTTTTTTCCTGCTTTCTCTGGTAACTTATCCGCGAAACTGAAATTGCTCGCTCGGGCCTCAAGTCTCCGCTCCGAGCTAGGCCCAGTTTGGCGACTTGGTGCTCGAGGATTTGGACCCTTTGTGTCCGGGTTTTGGGGTTTTTGTTAAATTTTTGGTGGCTTCGCCTTTGTTAGTATTTTTTTTATTTTATTGATGGCCGAAGCCGTTTTTTTTAAGAATGTCCTGAAATAAAAATCTTATTAGTGGGTCTACACAGTGCTGGGAATGTCTACGTCGATAGAGCTACGAATTTATCTGCTGATTTTTGTAGACTTTGTGCTCCAGCCATACTATAAATAGTTACCAGGTAATTTTGGCTCCTCAGATAATGTAGGCTGAACAAACTTAAACTAGAGAAGGCCGGCCACCTACTCAAGTTTCGATATACGAAGTGGGCAAAAGTATGTAGACGCCACCTACCTTAGGTGGCATACAATTGAACAGAACTGTCAGCAAATCGTTTAAAACTCTCGTTAGTGTGTACCTCCCTTTGAAATGTTTTGTGATTTTTAATTTAGGTTGTATTTATTTATTTTTAGCTTTAGAAATTCGCTTCGTGATATGATTATAACATTCCAAGTCATTCCTGTTTTATGTTCAAACGTTTTGTGATTTTTATTTTATATTGTACTTATTTATTATTATTTATTTATAGACTTAGGAATTCGCGTACGTTGAGTTATACAACAGTTTCGATCGCATATTTTTACTAATAAGTACAAATTTAGTTGCGAAGTGTTTGTTTTGAGAAAAAAATAAAATAAAAGTATTTTCGACTGTTATTTTTTTCAATTTCGATCAACAAAACGAAGTGGACGATGGAAGAAGAAAAATTACGAATCCAGTTAATAGTTTAACTTGACTAGTTAATACTAATTGACAAACTGATTTATGTTCATTTAATATGTATTTTGAACCATATAGGTATATTATAATTCTGAATGGATATATCTCGTATCGCCACCATATTAATGCCTAAATGGATTGGCGATGTTTCTTACACAATTACATCTTGAATACTTGGAAGATGATCGGTAAATGTAATATATTACCTTGTGATATATCGTATTTATTCACTGCTATTTACAACGGAATAACTTATACTGTTTAGCTTTTTATAACATCAGGCTTCTACTCTATTTTTATGCCAAATTCTTTAGTTTTCAGCACAAATTTTAACCTGGATTTACAATTACACTTGCTTACACTAAATATTTACTTTTGAGATCTCAATTTGACATTTATCATTTCCTACATAGTTACTTTGATATAAGGCTGAATGCTCGAATAAATGAACTTTGATCAAATAAAAGGCAGATATCGAGCAGTTTTATTAATTTAATCTTGCCCAAGTACTTTCGCTTCCTAGAACATCTTCAGGGGCATTTCGTCAATTGTGGCCTATCCAACAAGAATAAAATGTTATAAACATAAAATTGTACATCACACTACACTTCACAAGGACAAACACTTTAAAATTTTTAAAATAGGCGAAGCTACATCATGTACGGAAACCGGATTTTGATTCTGTCTCCAAAATTTATTTTAATTATTTCCCTCTGATAACTTTATTACTTCATGTTTATGCTCTTTATTTGACATTTATGACAATTGATATGTACATTCTTACATCTGTCCATATTATTTTACATAAATTTGCTTCTAGCTTTTC